GCAGCAAGGCTTATCTTTATTTTAGAACCTTTCTCAATTCATTCGTTTTGGGAGAAAAGTGCTTTTTGTCCTAAGTGTGCATCAGTGGCAGTTTAAGAACTCTGCCTAAATAAAATCTAGTTCAAGGTTAGAAAATTTAAATCAGAAAATATCTTTTCAAGCTAAAACTAGACTATGAATTTGATCAGAAATTCATACTTGACAATTTTCAGTACCAGATACATTTAGATAGATTTCTGTTGATACCGTAAAATATTGAGGTTTGGTGCCTGGGTATATGAGAGTATGAGTTTTAATGGTCACTTAAAACATTCATTCATAGATTCTATCTAAATGTCATTCCAATGAAGCAGATGGAAATAAAAAACAGAAGGAGCCGGAGCCAGAGATAGAGGAGGAGGTGCTGAGTAGCTGTCATCTGCAATGTTGTTGATCAGTGGGAAGTGTGTTCATTTAAAGTGTGTGAGAAAGAGAGTGCGCTGATTACACAGGAAGAAGAAGAAGAGAAAGAAGGGAATTTCTGGGTCAAGAGATGCCACACACGCTTTCTTTAAGTCTCTCTCTCTCTGCACACGCACAGTTTCGTCATGCAGTTATAAACAGTAAGGACAAGTCTGTCTGAGAGAAGAATAAACTCGGCCAATTCACTAACTCTATAAATTGTAATATTTCAACCCGTATTAGAAGGATTTCTGCAATTTTTGTTTGTCGTTTTCAATTATTGTCGCAGTACCATTTAACACCTCTGCAGAGGAGCACGAGACGAAAGGGTGGTGCAATATAAAGTGGGAAGTCCAGTTTGGAATTTTACCAGACACAAAGACACCACAGAGCTGATTTTATAACTCTAGAGAGCTGATTTAGCACAAAGCTACTTGCTACGTTAAGAAAAATCTCCTTCAATGTAAGGTTTGTCCTGGCGGTGACACGAGTAGAAAGGTCACTACAATCTAAAGGGTTCATCCTCAGGGGGAGCAGCAATGTGAAATATGAAAATATGACCTTTAGATCTTGTAATTTCCTGTGCATTCATGGGAAATGTTTTCCTGAGGGTGGTGCTAGAAGGAAGGTCAGGGGTTTAGCAACATCATTAGAAATGATCCTCTGGGGAGCAGGGATATTCACAGCAAAATTCAATGAAATGTTGTTGATCATCAATGTAATTTTTGATTTTTTTTGCACTATTTAACAGTGATATTTTACGTTTGTTAGAGAACTGTTTCC